ATTATTTTGGGTTTGTGTGAGGTATATATGTAGTTATGCAAACGTGAATCGGTAGTCACTCGTGTTTATCTACTATCAGAATTTTAGTTGTAGCAAATTTAGAACGAAACATCTTAATTCTAATGATGAGAAAGATACTCAGTTTCATTTGTTGTTTTTTATCTCCTTACATGAAAATCATAGGAACACATTTTTGTAGTATTGTGTACACTAATTTCCTGCTGGCTATGTGTACATTATTGCTATTAAAATAATATATTTTGCAAAAAAATTTACCATCAAATAAAAGCTAGAAATTTAATGAAGTATGTATAATGTGATTATGGTGTGGATTGGGTACACTTAAATCAATAAGTGTATGGTCCCCGTGGTGTCCATTTTAGTTATTTTCGAATTACAAATTGAGTTGTTCAGTGAATCAGTAGAAACAGTACTTAGAAATATCATTGATTAAAGAATCATTTCTGATGTATTATTCACAAACTGATTACTGTTTGGAGAATCTTTCTTCTTATAATTGTTTTTTTAGATACCAATATAAAAGGTTTAGTGTTGCTATTAACTTAAAAACAAAGATTTTTTTAATCTTAAGGTTATCAATTATACTTTACCTCAAACTATGAAACAGTATGTACACAGAGTTGGTCGTACCGCTAGAATTATGAATGCTGGTCGGTGAGTTCCTGTTTATAAGCTCATGCTTTCCCAGTAATTGTAATGTTTTTTCTACGTTTCTGTTTACGGATAAGCAACTACAGTAAGACACAAGCAAATCACTTAGCTATGTCTTCTTTTTGGACGTTTATAATTAATAATTAGTAGAAAGCCATGTTCTTATAACTCAGCGATGTATTTCTTATGGCACGTATTATAGCTTGTTGAGTAATTGTTTAGTCATTCTAGTAAATCAACAATCCAGTCAGTCTTTGCTTACTCTTACTAGGGGCAAAAGGTAAACATTCGTATAAGTTAATTATTCTTTACATCAAAACTTGTAAACTATCATAACGGATTCTCAATATGATAATAGTTGAAAAAAGATATACCAATACAAAAATCAAATCTACTTATAAACGTTTAGAGCTTTATCGAACTATATCCCATTTAGTTTAGTCCTATCTCTCAACAATTCATATCGTATTACTCAGCTATTTCAATAGACATTGTGTCGTTTCTTTTCAATGAATAAACAAACTCTCGTCGAATTTGATAATCCTTGTTATTTTAAGACTTATTTGGTCCTTACAAAACTTATAATCATGATTGTATTGACAATTTAGAGTGTACAAGTGCTATATTTTACCGTTGTTTGTATGAAAATTACTCACCATCTTACGTACAAAAATCAAGCGAGTAAGTCAAATCGTCTAAGTAACAGAATGTACTTAACTAAAGATCAATTCTGAATTAGGAATGAGGTGAAAAGCGTCTAGTTCACTTTACTTGTTGCAATGTTTCTGTACAAATACGAGATTATGTTCCTTTTAAGCTTAATTACTATTACTAGATAGTACAAGATTTCTAAATTCTGCGAGTTATAATTGTTTCGATTACATTATGTCATTTTTTACTAACTTCACTTGATAATTTCATTTAAAGAGCAGTGTCTTTAGTGGGTGAGGATGATCGCAAAGTGATGAAAGAAATAATGAAACAAGCACCTTATCCGGTTAAAGCACGAGTTATAGCATCAGGTTAGTTTCAATAATCTCTGTTTGATGATTAAGAAACATTTTTAACTAACATAACGTCTCAGAACCAGTCGCAATGGTCTAGATGAGTTCATTTTTTTATCGTCCCTTGGTTCCCGTGTTCGAAAATTATTTCATACCTTTTATTCTGTGGATTCATTCGTTCTTATGGAATCATATTCTGTATGCATAATGTTCTTTTGCTATCACTGCTACTTTGATATTCATTTTGACAATTTACCTCGCCGTGCTTATGTAGTGTGGTAATTTGAATATTTGCACATATGTTCCAGGTTCTACGTCGCTTATAATTGACTGACTGACCACATTTTCATTAGTTTTAGTTAGTAGTTATAAAAGTTCCATTCAGTAGTAGAAGTTGCACAAGCTTCGACATGAATATGAATAGAAAAACTAAAACATCCAGCCTCTAAATTATTACCTGGGTAACTTGGTCGCATGACTGAAGTTTTGATAACCATGTTTACATTCTGTTAATCATCATACATGATTAAGAGAATTTAGTGTTATAAGTTGTGATCAAAATTTGAGTGAATGGTTTTGCACAAATTGTGAACCGAGTAAATAAAATTTAAAAGACAAAATGTATATTTGCGCGGAATTTAAAGTTCAGGGAGTGATAATTTGTTTGTTTATGTAAACTAAGTGAACGTTCGCGGTGTCCGCCCTAAAATGCTCGGAATCGATGATAAGACTAATTACTGTGTTTAGGTAATGCTCATCTAAATCCAACCTTACCCTATAATCAAAATCAAATCAGTCATTCTAAGATTTTTTTGAAAAAAACTTATTTCAGGCTACCATGCTAAACGCTCAAAGTATTAAAGTTCAGTCGCTGTGATTTTTATAAATATAACTTTATGGATAACTTATTTAGTAGTTCATAAAACAACACATTAGAAAGGAAGATGAAACTAGTCACTTATACGAAGTATGCATTTTGTAAACTGCAAAGTAAGCTTCAAACTATCAATTACTAACTAGTTTTTTCTCATTCTTGACTAATTAATTACTTACTGAGTGCCATCAAAAGTAATGTATACAACTGCTTTAATTTAAAAGCCACGAAACATATACGAATAATAGAAAGATCTAATGTGACGTTTAGCGCTTACACGTCTACATCATTCTGATAATTGTTAAATAAGGATACTAGGGATTATACAGCACAAAGTTGTCTCCCAACTGTTTCATATGTAGTCCTAACACAACTTTAGGAGATAGTAGTTTTGGATATACCTTGAAGAGAATGCCTATATATGTTTTGAAAGTTCTAGATCCATAATTTATTGATTTTAGTTTTTCATCAATAAATGCTTCGGGGAATTCAATTGTGCGATTTCTACGGATATTTTCTAGATGTTATTGCTACTTATCAGTCCAAAATTACTCGCTTGGAACCTATAATTGGAAAAATCTTGGCTGCAGAAGCTGAGGAGCGAGAATTGAGGGCCGCTCAAAGTCAACTATCCAAGGCTGAGGAGTTAGTTACTTGTATGAAGTCTGAAACGGCACCGCTCTCATGTGTGGAAAGGAGAGTAGACTGGTTCGCTGAACGTAAACGTGATAAGAAGACTATTGGTCGAAGTAAGCTTAAAGCGCATAACTTGTCCATGTGTCTTGTATTAACTTTTACCTTGATAAATACTGAATTTACTTTTTTTGAAAGGATACATTTTCAAACATGTTCCTTTGGAGTTAATGTAGATTTATTCAATCAGTCGTCGAGACACCACCTCATGTTAGCACGGTAAAAGTAGGAAATTGACAAGATCAGGAACGCAGAACTGCTTTTTAAAGCTGTAACAAGACATCCGTCCTTCCCCAATGGAATAGCACCATCAACCCTTAGAACCGATCAGATGAGAGTTTGTCTAGCCCTCAAACCGATTAGTATCTTAGTTCTGCTAGTAATTTCAAACAACCATTTGGAAGAACTAGGTGAAATCTATCAGGACCATCTAATTTTCTGCTCTCATTTAGTTATAGGCGTTTACACTTAATTGAGATTCCATTGATAAGTATTAGGCATCTGAATATTAGCTAGAGGCCAGTTGAACTGTTTTCCAAAGTATTTCAATCGCCTTGTTTGAAAATTGATCATGGTTAACTAAGAGCTAACTTTTTAACTAATCTAGAGAGTTATCTGTTCCTACCTGTCACCACTGCTACTCCATCTCCTTTGCTTTCATTATCTACCACTACTCTTGATCATCTCGTAAACTTTCTACTTTTATTAAAGTCCCCTTCGCTTCTCATGTTCGGAACCTTTCAAAATAAGTTCTCAAGGATTTACTAGTTTGGTAGAAGATTAATTGGCCCTTCTTGACCATTTATTTTAGTTTCCATAGAGATCACACTGCTGGCTTTTGCAGAGAACTGCAAATCGCGCTAGGCTCCCCCAGGATAAGCAAATACCTGTTGGATTGTTTGGTCCAAACATGTCCATGGCATTTACTTTCAAATTGAGCTCCGTCTTTTTGATTAAACTCTCCTGTATTTAGCAAATACTCAAAACATGGCCGGAGTGTAAACGTGTTTTAAGAGAGAATTGATTCTTTTATTGAGTAGTTCGTTGTTGTAATGATAGCTTATTAATAATTATGAAGAAATGATGAATCAGTAGGAACTGTCTATTGATTATGGAAGGGGACAAGATACGAGGTAGAATATATTGCTTTTGTACATGGATTAAGCTCATATTTGGGGATTGCTAAAGCCTCTATGATTTGTTTGTATTTCTTTCGAACCAATTTGTTTGACTCTATGAATGATCCTAAAAGAGATTTTTGGTGGAGCAACGTGACCAGAACTTACAAGATGTTCCGCAACCGAACCATTGACTTAGTTGGGTACCATCTTGACAATATCTTATCCCACATATTCATTGTGAACGGTCAAGGTTGTGAAAACGTGACTAACTGAGGTAACTACCAGCTGGTTGCGAAGATATTGGTTGGCATATGTAAGTTCGAGGACTGAAATACCTACTACACGTATGTTAAACTGTTTTCAGCATCGCGTTTCTCTGCTAGTAGTAATGGTTAGATTAAAATTAACCCTAATGGTTTTCGTAAAAACTCTGTTAATGGTTCTCTTATTACATTGTTTTCAGAACTCAAGGTGTCTCAGTCGAAAAAGCGCAAAATCAGTTGTGATAGTGATTCTGAATAATACTTATTTCAGTATAAATTATCTTTTATATTTCTTTAATTATGTTGGGATATAGGACATACCAAGCATTTTAAAAAGCAAAAAATATTGGAAAAAAGTTATTGATTTTAGCTACTATGGCCACTGAAATGTTTCTAATGCAAAGAGTGTATCGGGAAGTTCATCACGTTTCAGGTAACTAGATTGTGTACCTTTTTTACGGATTGACTGGCTGGCAACCCAAACCGATCGTCTTATTTGTTCAGCTAGAGTAATGTCCTCGTGACATGCGACGAAGTAAGCTAGTGAGCCAACAAAACAGTCTCCTGCTCCCTACGAAAAGAGATTACATAATCATATAAATTAATACAGTTTGGCGCCCTTTTTTCTGTTGAGTAATAAGTAATAGCGTTAAAAGAGATTTATGGTGCACTTCGATGTTTTTGTTGTTAATGATTCTCAAGTCACAAAGTGGTTGGTTATCTGCTTTCGACCGATATTCAGGGCATGATCAATTGTTTGTAGCAAGCTCAATAGCACAATCTCCTATTTTTCTGTCAGTAAAAGCTGTTCAAGAGGAGACATGCAAAGACCCATTTTCATCAAGGGTGACATACTCATCTTAGACGTATGATAAAATAGTAATATGACTACGCGCCAGGTGGCAGGACAAAATATACTGAACTTGGGTCCAAGTGATGATGCACCCTTCAAAATAGTAGAACGTGCTAGATAGCATTACGGTCTTGTCGAATTTTGTGACGCGATAACTCCGATAGTTAGAAATTATTAAGTCCCCCATCGACGATCATTCCAAATAAATGTATTAGATTGTTTGCAATCCCATACTGGGACGTTACTGGAATTTCTCATCAAAATAGTAACATTGGGTCGTTTTTACTAAAATAATTTACTCCAATTCCATCAAACTCCAAAATTGCTTCTAGGATTAAAGCTTCCCTTTCTTGGCAAGTAATTCTTAGGATATTTTGTTAAATTTTCGCAAAATTCGATACCCAGCAAATATAAAATTTTACTTCGAGTCTGTCTACACCTTACTAAAAGCGCTTAATATGGGTACTTAACAATCTTGGTATATTGCTTTAGTGTTCACTGTAGACTTCGACTTATATGCAAGTTTGTTGAAGCTGTTAATAGATCAATATTAATTTCAGGAATCGCAGACTTGACAATATCTCAAACGTACTAATTTTGTCTGTAAACCACAATAGACTAGAGGACAACGTTATGATAATAAGTTCCAGGGGTCGTGTAGCCAGATATAAATACTTATTTAATTACAGGCTGTACGTTACCTGAGGAGTCTGGGAATCAAACTCAGAGCACGTTTACGTTTAACACCACATTCGGGTTCAATGTAGTGTTCAGTTACTCGCTTGTGAAGTCTACCTACTTCGAATGTCTATAGAATAGTCAAGTGTTTTTAAGAAAAGATTTGCATCCAAACAATGAAAGTCATAACGACTTTTGGTTATTAATTTGTAGGCTGTGTTTAATGTGGATGAGTTTGGGCTTTTGATGTACTTAATGGTTAATAGTTGTTAAGGTTGGTATTTTACAAAAAGCCTCATCTCTAACTGTCATTTCTAGTGAAAAACTGAAGAATAATTCTAACAGTTAACTTACTGTTGTATCAACTACATCAATTTTACTTGGTGCTGAGAAGTGCACTACCAACTTCTTTTGGTTATCAAAAGTAATATGAGCCACTTCGCTAGCGTCTTTGGCATATATATTTTCCATATCTTGTTCAGACAAAATTGCAATAACTCCTTTACTTCCTAGAGTTACTATGGGGTATTTGATCTTCTTTTTAAGCAAATAGGTAAGACCAGGAATAAAAGCATCTATATTCAGTGAGCCAATCTCATCTTTGGAAAAAAGTGATTCAGAATCAGACTCAGTTATAGAACAAAATTCAGACTCATTTGGGCATACGAAATCACAGTTTGACAAAATATCTTCCATTAATTCGTAATTCCCCAACTTCTCAGGATTTCCAGAAGCCACTGGTCCAGGTGCAGGATTCAAAATTGTCTTTACACCTTTAGCACGGCCAAGCCTCAAACTATAGAGTGTTGCTGTTGGATTGATCTAAAGTTATCAAAAAAATCAACACTTCAGCCAATTAATGACCGATAATTGAGTTAACTAGTAGATGGGGATGAAGGTCTAGGCAATTAGTATTTCGCTACGTAACGAATGTCATATCAGGAACTCTCATTACAATTCAAAGGTACAGTTAAAAACAACACAACATGAGTAATGGCATGTTCTGTTGGACACTTCCTGTTGTATAGACGACCTTGACATGCTGAGTAGTTGGTGCCAGCGAATGTCACAATATACAGAGTTGTCTTCTGTTTGCTAAATTTGACTTCTCGCAAGTAGAAAATGCATAGGTCTAATTAGAAGTAAAAGGAATTACCGTTGTGTACGTTTTGTTCTCGAAACCTCTACACAAGTTAGTTATAGATTAGTGTTAATTTGTCAATTTTGAATGTATGTTTCACATAAGTAGATTCATGGGTTCGGCGGGATTACTATAAGCTCGTTTTGCATCCATCGCTAAAGACGAAAAGACACTGAACAAACGATCTTCTATAAAAGGTGGACTAAGTGCTGTAAACGTAGTAAGATCGCTCGAAGTCCTGAAGAATATTTGGCGAGTTAAGCTACATTTTCCTGTTATAATTGGATACTCAGTAATCGGTGATAAAGACTCGAAAGTCCTATTTGAAGTTTCTACTCCGACGTCGGATTTTTTCGGATTTCTGTTTGAGTCAGTCTTGATGCATCATGCTACAATTATTACATGTATTCATTAATTTAATGTAGAGCAGAAAACTGTTACAACAAAAAACCCAGAAAATGAACCACACAAATGAAGTAAAGGGTAATAAACTAAAAAATAAATTGACGAAAGGGAAGTTCATTTTACTCTCATAATAATTACGGCTGAAAACTACAGCACGATTGCCACTGTTAAGGATAAAATAGAGCTATTCTTGCCAACAAAGTGTAAACTGGGACTTTTGCGGTCAGATGAAGCTAAAGATGACTTCGGATAAGCCATGAGTGGGTCCTCTCAAGTATACACGAGGAGAAGTGCATGTGAAAATGTTACATATTTATTTTGCTTTCGCTAAGAAATATGTGCTTTATTACACAAGGCAATAAAAATTCCAGTTTCTTCAACAATAAGATAACGAACAATTTGGTTAAACTCTGAAACCGGAAAGTCGTTACTTTTGTGAATGTTTGAAACACACAGGATTTTATAACTTATTACAACACTAACGAGGTGTGTATATGCAATGTTGGGCTAGTCCACAGTTCTCTACATGCTCTGTTTTTATTGTCGATGAAGTTGAAGACGCTTTTGCTTGGTGTGTGAATTTGCATGATTGTTTACTGGGATGTCGAGACAGTGAACCTTAGCGTTGGCATTATGTGAAAAGATACTAAGTTCAATAGACATATTAGGGTTTGCGGTTTATTTGATAACTAATCAAATCATGATTGCTATAAACTTACTTCAAACTGACAAACCATTACTTTTGTATCCAAGAGAGTTAGTTTCTCTGCAAGAGAAATGTCTTTTTCTGATACAAGCATATTTGCACCTGGGACGATGATAATTTGATTTCCACCTGTTCTTGTTTCAACTGTAATCGATGCAACTCCAGTACTATCCATTGATGTTCTTGATATACCGTCTAAGTTCAAATAAGGATATTGTTAAGTAATATACTAGTATACAATATGACAATGTACTGGACAAAGAAACTAAATTTCTATCTTTAAAGGAGTGATTAGGACTAGAACTAGTAAGGAATGTCTTGATAATGGCGAGTAAAGGCAAACAAGATGGGTTGCCAAGTAAGACGTGTTGTTACAAAAAATCTTATTTACTTCTCGAAAAAGTTCAAATTAATTAACGACGCCTGCATAATTAATGTTGACAGGATATAAATTATTATTTCGAAAGTATTGGCTATTTGTTTACATTAATGGGGTGTAGGAGAAGATAGGAATTAATTTTGTGCAAATATTGTTAAGTCATTGGCATTTCACTTACCAGTGTTCACTCCAAGTTGTTTTAAGTGCTGAACAAACATTTCACCAAAGTAGTCATCTCCAACTTTTCCTATTAGTGCAGTGTTGCATCCCAGTACTCTTGAAGCCACACACTGATTCGCCCCTTTACCCCCGTAACCAAGAAGAAAACTCGAACCAGTTACTGTCTCTCCTAGCTTTGGAATAATACTCGTGAATCTAGGAATACAACACATTAGGGTTATTTGGAATTACACAGATAGGTCAACGTTGAGTGAGCCAACAACTGTGACGTGAGATCTTGTCATAGTAGCGAATTTACTGCTTGTGTCAAAGAATTGAGAAAACATTTGTATATTGGGCAGACAGAGACTTAGAAACATCAAATGTGTAAAAATGGTTGTTGGAGATAGAAAATGCACATAGTGATTAAGACTGTAAGTTCAAATGAGTTTTCATTAGAAGAATCTTTAACGATGCAATAAAGATCCATCACATAGCTTGAGCAAACTTACAATGCAGAATAGGAAAAAGCGATTAGGCATACTCTATAGCGTATAGGACATTACATTCCTGTTTGTTACATATGCAAACCGTACGGTATCACTCAAGAAACTTGTTTGACTACACAGAGGCTGGGAATGTATTTAGACGAGTTGTGTGGACCAGTTCATAATAACTGAAAAGCATCATCTCAATCATACGACAATTAGTATACTTCATTTTTTACTTCATGTCCAGGGGTTTACTGATAATTACATAAAAAGTATCCATACATAAGTTCACAGTTAATATATTGGATGATAAGAAGTGCACCAACTTCAATGGGATGACGTCAGATGCAGTGACAGAGTTGCATGTTTGGTTATGATTGTAACGCCTGGTCATTCTGATGTTAAGTACGTAGTTAAGAAGCATGAAAGGATAGGCTGCGGTAAGTGCCGTGTCATTTTAGTGGAAGGATTACATGTTATCGTGGGGATAATGGGCTGGGGGCTGATAACATAGAGAGCTGTTCGTATTTTGTACTAAGTTCTACTTATGCTGAAGCATAGGTATCGATAAATCCTCACTGGTTTGCCGCAATATTATCTAGATTTTCATGGCGTATTCGCACCCGATCTAGAAACAATATCAAGCAGGTTTAAACTGACAAATACTCCTGTAGTGGTAAATAAATCCCCAAAATAGACAGCTCTGTAAGTTTTCGACATTGGATGCTGACCACATTAGTTTTAAAAGACTCACGTGGCTGAAGGCGCTCGGTCATGCATCCACACCAGATCATGAGTGGGAACGCCGTGCTCAACAAACCCTGCAATCGCTAGCCAGATTAGATCAGATGATCCTCGATATATTGATAGCCTATCAAATATATCTTTGAACCTCCTCGCTTATGTCTTTTTATTTCACTTGGTGGGTACGCTTCATATTAGGTGTTACTGGTTAAAGCGTTGTCAAACTCCGAATACCTGTGGCATCTTCACTCTCCTTTTTCTGATGCTTGGAATGGAGTTATAAATCCTTTCATATGTGTTTTTTTAATAAATGAATGTTGCAGCATTTAACTTATGGTGGTAAACCATTGAGTTTTTGATTGTATCGTAAGGGAAATCAGTATTAAATTTACCAAGTATGTCCATTCAGTTTATGACTTTCTACACTTATGGACTACTAGATAGGGATATGAAGACTGGAAAATAATGATTTCATAAACGTTCAACGTGTAAATCACAAACCTTTAATTAAGTTCGTATTTGTTCTTCAAGCAGGGAGTTTGCAGCTACACACACCATTGCTACTGAATATTACTATTTATGGAGATGATATAACAGAACGTCTATATAAAACAGAATCGTATATCATTGTCGAAATGAGAAATGACATATCCTAGTGACAAAGTGATTGCATACTATGCATACTCCCTCTATAGATAACTGTGATAAATTTTGTGGACTTGCTGACGTTGGCACAAATTGTGGATGAATGTTGTTACTCCCAGTGATTAAGGCTAATGATATATCAAATCTAGGAACAGTTCATGAGGATGGAGAAAACATTTCTTAAGGAATTATTAAGTACACAAAGGAGTGTGAAAAAAGAAGTCCTACATATGCAACATGTGTGCACTTCTACTGCACTAGGCTATAGTCTAGCAGTAAAATAAAAAATCAAACATGATTTTTGAACCATGTATAGCAATTCTTGGATTTTGAAGTGAAATTTATTCAACAATATATATAAAATCAGTTTTTCACGGAAACCGTTTCTTAAATTATAGACCAATTTTGAACCTAGTGAGTAGGTGCGGTCTCAAGGTCACGCCTTTTCGCCTGTAAAATTCAGATTCAAATTTATCTAGTGCGGATCGAAGGCCTACGAACTATGTTATTTCCCGTCTAGTATTATTCCATGAGTGTACAGTCTTCTGAATCAGTCGATTGAAAGTGCGGGCACCACTGCTTCGTGTAACAGGTTCCAAGTATAATGAATCGATGTGAAAACCTGTATATCACAGGTATTTTGTTCGTTCTTGGCTTTTCTACTCGCCTACTATTTCCTTTGCGATATCCCAATCTAGTGAGAAGAAAAGGAGGGAATACGTTAGGCTCAAAATCATTTCTTAGTATTTTATACAACAAAATTAGATCTCCCTTTAGTCTGTGATAGGACAGAGTAAAGAGGTCCAGCTTTTCAAGCCGCTTTTTGTATGGTGAACACCAGAGTTCTGGGATTGCGCGGATAGCTGCCCTCTGTACTTTTTCCGGGATATCCGAGTCACCTTTCAAACAGGGGCTTGAATTCTGAACACAGTTCTCAAGCTTAGTTCTCAGTAAGGTTGTTTATACTGTAGTGAACATGGTAGTACATATCTTAATAAACGTCCTTTTTAAAGATCATAAGGTTCTAAACCCCTTAACTGTGTAGCGGTAAATAAATCCCCAAAATAAATAGCACTAAGTTTTCGACATTGGATGCTGACCATATGTTTTAGTGGACTCACCTAGCTGAAGGCGCTCGGTCATGCATCCGCACCAGATCACGTGTGGTAACGCCGTGCTCAACATCAACCGCAATCGCTAGCCAGATTAGATCAGAGAATTCCGATATATTGGTAATCGCCAAATACACTCTTCCGATCTCCTCGACTCTGTCTTTTGATTTCTCTGGGCGGGAACGAAATATATTAGAAGGTGTTACTGGTAGAAGCGTTGTCAAACACTGAATACCTGTGACATCAACATTGGTGAAACCGACGTGATCTGGTACACCTAATTGCAACTGTGAGTCTGTTCCTTTTTGGGATTTTTATATATCATTGCCTTATTTTTTTTATTTTTTTTAAACATTGTGATTTTTTTTCGTGGTTTTTCCTGGATATATATATTTTCCCCTTGTTCATTATCGTACTTCATACTTCATCATGACTGAACAGACACCTAAAGTACTCAAGCTTAAGACTTTGTCCCCGCCTTCGTTTCAACTCATGCCTTTCTGGCCCGACAACATCGAAGCCTGGTTTTGCTACGCAGAAGCCGACTTCTCCGAGCACGGCGTGATCGACACACGTGCACAATTCCTCGCAGTAGTCAAGGCACTACCGCGCGAATTCAACAGGTACGTAACACCTAGTATGTTTACTAGTGATGTTTCCGATCCTTACGAAATCTTAAAACGCTCGATTCTTAAACGAGGAGACCTAACCGATCGACAAAGGTTAGATCAACTCTTCAACAATATCGACCTGCAACACGGTTCTGCGACGGACATGTTGCAACGGATGAGAGAGGTAATAGGCCCAAGAACTTTCGACGAAGGTCTATTCAAACAACTCTTCTTGTCAAAACTTCCCCAACAGGTGCAAGCAGTTCTGGTCTCGTTCCAGAACAATGCCTTAGACGAGCTAGCTGCATCTGCCGACCGCATTCTAGAAATTACGAAATCTACTACCGAGGTATTTTCAGTCAAAGAAAAACCTCAAACGACTCAGAATGATATAAACGACTTATGTCACACACTCACGCGTTATCTTAGTCTTCGTACCGACCGTAAGAGATCGCGCACACCACGTAGAAGCATTTCTCGTAAGCGATCTGTCTCTAGACCACGAGAGACGGATAACCCCGACTGGTGCTGGTATCATAACCAGTATGGAAAGCTTTCCAGAAATTGCAGAAAACCCTGCAATTTTCCCAACACGAAACCGACTGATTCGAAAAGCAATTCGGGAAACTTCCAAGCCGGCACGCGTTAACGGCAACCGTAGCCGGCGAACATAGCCATCTGTTATACGTCACAGATGTGACAACGAGAGTTCGCTACCTCGTCGACACTGGCGCAGAAGTTAGCGTTCTTCCAGCAAATCCTAACGACCGGCTTCAGGAATCGGCTTTTAACTTACAGGCGGCAAACGGAAAACCGATCGCTACGTATGGCAAAAGGTACGTTTACCTTAACGTGGGTTTACGCAAACCCATTCACTGGATCTTCGTTGTTGCAGATGTTTCTATGCCAATCATTGGTATGGACCTTCTACAACATCACAATCTGATCATCGATACGCGCAAACGGAGGCTAGTAGACGGAAACACTAATTTGTCCGTTTGCGTAACTTCTTTTACTGGTTGCAAATTATCCCCAGTCACAATTAAACATATGATAGACCCACTCTATCAACCACTACTTGATAAGTATCCTGGGATTCATCAAACACAACCGAAACTACCGTGTGTAACCAGCAACGTTACACATCACATCACGACTACAGGACCACCTGCATTCTCTAAAGCACGACGACTAGCTCCTCAAAAGCTAAGGTTGGCGAAAAACGCGTTCGATCACATGATAAGCTTAGGAATCATACGACCGTCAAACAGCCCATATGCATCTCCGTTGCACATGGTCCCTAAAAAGGACAGCAACGATTGGCGTCCAACTGGTGACTATCGGCGATTGAACGCGAAAACCATTCCCGATCGTTACCCGTTGCCTCACATTCACGATTTGACAGCTACCTTGAAAGGTACAACTGTCTTTTCGAAAATCGACTTGGTTAAAGCGTATAACCAAATCCCTATGGCTACTGGCGACATACCGAAAACAGCTATCATAACTCCTTTCGGACTCTATGAATTTTTGCGAATGCCTTTCGGTCTAAGGAATGCTGCTCAAACATTCCAAAGATTCATAGACGACGTTTTTCGAGGTCTCAACTTCGTACACGCGTATGTTGACGACTGTCTAATCGCAAGTCCGGACAGAGAATCACATCTCAAGCATCTGGATCTTGTTTTCGAACGACTACAAAAACATGGCATTACTGTAAACGTTCAGAAATGCCGAATTGGGACCGACTCATTAGACTTTCTGGGACACACTATCGATGCTCAAGGTATCCGACCCCTTAGAACCAAAGTGGCGGCCATTCTGGATTACCCAGAACCGACCACCGTCAAGCAATTACGCACGTTTAACGGCCTGGTAAGTTTCTATAGACGTTTCATACCGAAATGTGCGTTACTTATGAAACCTCTTACCGACCAACTTCGTGGAAATGCGAAATCCATTAATTTGGACGACACTGCACGAAAAGCATTCTCCACAGTTAAGGAACTGATTGCTAAAGCAACGATGCTCGCACATCAGGACACCCGAGCACCCATTAGCATCGCAGTAGACGCATCCGACTCGGCAATCGGAGGAGTCTTACAACAATGGGTTAACAACTCCTGGCAACCCTTGGCATTTTTCTCTAGAAGGTTGCTAGACACCGAATCGAGGTACAGCACATTCGGTAGGGAACTCCTAGCTATGTATTGTGCTGTACGGCATTTCCAACACCACATCGAAGGTCGTGAATTCACTCTTTTCACGGACCATAAACCGCTCACTTTCTCGTTAAGCTCTCCTTCTGACAAGTACTCTCCCCGTGAGTCTCGACAACTGGACTACATTTCGCAGTTTACTTCAGATATTCAACACATCTCTGGAGCAAACAATGTAGTTGCAGACGCCTTATCTCGCATAACTTCCTTGAACAGTTTCCAAGGAATCGACCTTCTTAAACTCGCCGAGCTTCAAAAAGAAGACACTGATCTTCAGCACGAGTTATCGTCCACAACACTTAAACTACGCATCAAACAGATGGGAACAGGTAAGGAAACCTTACTTTGTGACACATCTACAGGTAGGGATCGCCCAATCGTGCCGAAACATTATCGACGCAATGTCTTCAATACATTGCACAAACTTTCGCATCCAGGTGTTCGTGCAA